ACATTCCCATACATGGAAATGTTAGTGTAAGTTTTGTGCAATGATGATGTAAATCCTGATGATAAAAATAATAGGGTCATAAGAATTTGGCTATTTTCTCAGCTGTGGCAGGACCTTATTTGATGGCTGAGAGCCCCTTAGATAGCCCAGGGATGAGGAAAAAGATTTGTAAAGCCACCTCACTTCTATTGCATAAACATGCATGCAACTTACAGTTTAGGTGTATGAGTGATTTCTTTCTGCCAATCAGTAAGCACTCAAAATACCTCAGCAAGTTAACTCCTAAATTTCTCCTGACTCAAAATATCTTATGAAGTTTAAAAAGTATCTTTATTTAGACAATGAAAAAACACACAGTATGTGTATCTATATGTCTGCTTTAAATTTCCAGTTACAGAGAAAACTCTTAAATGCTTAAAAAATTTTCAAGCCCCTTTAGAAAATTTCATTCCTTTAATATATGAAAAGCAAAATTAATTCCAGTGTCACATATGATTCAAGCTCTCACTGCTTTGGTTACCAATTATCATCTGCCATCTCATCTCTCCCATTCTCAGCCTATTTTTTTTAAAAAAAATAAACCATATTGTTTTTAAAATCAAGTTTCAGTCATTTCATTGTTAATGGACATTTGGCCGACATTCCCACCAGCAATGTATGAGGTTTCCAATTTTTCCACTTCCTTGCCAATGTTTACTATCTGATTTTTATATTCTACCCATTCTAGTGGATATGGCATAGTCTATCACTGTGGTTTTGAATGAAAATTAATGAAACAGAAAACAGAAAAACAATAGAGAAAATCAATTAAACCAAAAAGCTGGTTTGTTGGGGAAAAAAAAAAAAAATCAGTAACTTGACAAACTTTTAGCTGACCAAGAAAAAGAGGGCAGACTCAAATTACTAGAATCACAAATGAAAGAGGATAAATTACCATTGACTTACAGAAAAGGATTATAAAGGAATGCCAGAAGAACTGTACACCAACAAATTAGATAACTTAAATGAAACAGACAAAGTCCCAAAAAGACAAATTACTGAAACTGACTCAAGAATAAATGGACAATATGAACAGACCGGTAACAAGTAAAGACTGAATTAGTAATCCAAAAATTACCTGAAAAGGCCAGGCCCAGATGGCTTCTCTGCTACTTGTACCAGATTTTAATAGAAAAGTTAATACCAATTCTTCATAAACAATTCCAAAAAACAGAGAAGTTACACCGCTTACAAGTGGCAGGGCCAGGATTTAAATCTAGGCTATCAGGCTCCAAAGTCTGCACTATTGACCACTATATTCAACTGTCTCTCTGAATAACTAAATTTGAGTACATTATAGGACATCAAATTGTTATTTTGTATCACCCAACGTTTGCAGTTTATCTAGGTATTTGCCACTTAGGTAGTCTACGGAGAAAAAGGCTGAAGGAGGACTCTACTATAAAAAATATCATTTACATAATCCACATGTTGCTGTTATTTCATGAAGCAAAAAAGCATGACACTTACTAAAGTTTGTTTCTAGAAAAACTTGTTTTAGAGATAGGGTTTCACTCTGTCATCCAGGCTGGAGTGTAATGGTATGATCATAGTTCATTGACTATAGCCTTGAACTCCTGGGATTAAGTGATCCTCCAACCTCAGCCTCCACAGTAGCTGAGACCACAGGCAGGCAACATCACATCCAGCTAAATTTTTTGATTGTTTAATAGAGACAAGGATTTAAACTCCAATCTGTCTGATCTCATGGCTCACAATCTCACTTGATAGAGTCTCTTTCTACCAAGATTCTGTCTTTCCTATTCATCCCTCTACTGTAGCCCATCTCAGGCTTATGTGCTTAGAGAGCTCTGGGAGAGCAAAAGCCCCGTCCTATTACCCATGAGCATATCCTCCCTGGACTATGGGAAGTGAACAGGTATGCTCCTTAATTACGTACTCAATTGTTGACTGAGTAAACAATTACCAAAACTGTTTATTATCTCTAAGTTTGGATACTTTGTCCCCACCCCATTACTGCTTAGCATTAAAATGATGAACTGTAGGCCCTCTTACTCATTTAGCTAATCAAATATCATATAGTTATTATATGCAGTTTAAAATTACTAAGCCCAAAAATTCAAAGGACACAAATACATGCTTATTCCTTAAAATAACAGCAAGGGGGCAGGTGTGGTGGCTCATGCCTGTAATCCCAGCACTTTGGTCACCTGAGGTCAGGAGTTCAAGACCTGCCTGGTCAACAAGGTGAAATCCTGTCTCTAGTAAAAATACAAAAAATTAGCCAGGCATGATGGTGCATGCCTGTAATCCCAGCTACTAAGGAGGCTGACACATAGAATCGCTTGAACCTGGGAGACAGAGGTTGCAGTGAGCTGAGATCATGCCATTGCACTCCAACCTGGGCAAGAAGAGCGACACTCCTTCTCAAAAACAAACAAGCAAACAGCAAGGAAATCTAGAAAATATTTTAAATAGAAAAATTATTTTTGCATTCAAAATTGAAACTGCCTTTTATTATTCTGAATCTCTAAAAACGTTTTTTTTTTTTTTTTTTTTGCCATGGAAAACAACAGCTGAAATAAGTTAATACACAAAATTCCACTGCCTGAAGGAAATAAGCTATTTGGCAGAAAATTTTAGCTAGCAAACTTTTTGAATGCAAACAAAGAACTTATATTAGCCTGTATTAACCTCTTTCCTAAAGAATTAGTGATGTTGCTTGATGACTTGTGCTATAGAAAGATAAAGAAGTAATGATGGCCTCTAAGGGTAGCAATCCATATAGTAGTCTCCAGATCAGCCTCAAGTGGAAACACACATATCTGAAAAATTAACAATTATTTTCAAGGTAATTATTCCTATTACAAAATAAAGCAACAAATAAATACGGGAGTCCTCAAATAATGTTGTTTTGTTATAATGTTTGTTGATGAGGGAAAAAAGTGATTCCAGGCCAGGGACGCTGTCTGTGGGGAGTTTGTATGTTCTCCCCATGTCTGCATGGGTTCTCTGCAGGTACTCCAGCTTCGCCCACCACATGCCAAGGATGTGTATGTGGGGTGACTTGGTGTGTCTAAATTATCCCAGTCTGAGTAAGTGGGGGTATGTGTGTGAGTACACCCTATGATGGGATCGTGTCCTGGCCAGGAGTGTTTCTGCCTTGTGGCCTGAGCTGCCAGGACAGGATCCAGCCACCTATCAACCTGAACTGGAATAAGTGGGTTGGGAAATGAATGAATGAATACAAATTATTGTAAAATAAAAATTCATAGAGTCCACAGTAATCATACAAATGCACGACAATAAACTATGCATTAAGAAATCATTCAGTGAGCCTGCCATGCTTGTGATTGACTGCATACAGGTAGGAGGAACTCCTGACAACTTTTGCTTTGCAAACAATTATTCCTTAATATAGCCCACCACACTATGACTGCCGTCACTCACTGATTCACCAAAAATTACACAAATAATTTTCTTGTTTTTATAGTCTTTAATCTTAAATATATGTAGGCCTCACATTTATTTCAATATTTAATACTGCAGGTGTTCTGTATCTTTATTTAGAAATGTGGTGATTTTTTTTTGACTAGAAATATGCCATAGGAACTTAATGCTTGTTTATATCAATTAGCCTATGTTAAAACCACATATAACGAAAAGTTGGTTTCCAAGAACCCACCGATGACGTTAAATGACGACTTGTTGTACAAACATATAATCCCAATACTTCTATAACTCTGATAGTCCATTCAAAAATACAATATTAAAATATTTCTGAAATCTATCTTCTTTCATTTTCAGTTACTATTAACCATTATTTGCTGTGTGGGAAGGGGAGGCAGGTAACTAGTTATATTGTTGCCTTTAAGTTAATGGTTGATCTAAAAATCTGAAAAATCTGCTCATCATTTTTATTGGTTTAAACTGGCATATGTATACTTAGTTTTTGTTTTTAAAAAATCCTCTCTTTGAATGCAAATTTGTGTCTTTGCCCTAGAAATATGAGCATTATTGAAAAAATGTGAATCTCAACCTTTTGGCTCCTGGTTGCAGTAGGACCCATGGTTAATTGGAGGAGATTTGGAAGTGAACAGACCTGGGTCAGCATCTTGTCCTGCTACATTGTGCCTCTGGCTAATTACTTATTTTTTGCTACTTGGTTTCCTTACCTACAAAATGGGAATATTGACAGTACCAACTTCAGAAAGTTACTATGAGGATTAAAGCCCTTGCATAGGGCCAGGTACAGAGTGAATGCTCAAAGTACGCTATTAGTGATGATAGCTTTAATGTGCGTTTCATGTCAAGTTGCCTGAAGATGCAAAGCTACTTAATGCCTATGTCCTTTCACATAGGTTTCTGACTTAGGATGCTCTCCCCAGAATCTGCCACAAAGATCCCCACCCCACTTACTTGGGTCTCTCTTAACAAATGCTTACTCATAATTAAAGAACCACCCCCAGAATCAAATCCCTCACGTGAAATTATACTTCTCAACCTGTTTTATAATAACTCCGTTATCAGGCCTCAAGATCGCTAAAGGGAACAATCCATGACTCATTCACCTCTATACATCTCAGCACTTAGTAAGATCCCTGGTCCATGGTAAATTGTCAATGACTGCTGAATGCACATAATCAGACTTTCTACTATTCCACAGTATTAACAAAGAATCAAGTGTATGAGAAATTAAGACAGCCTTGGAGTTAAAACTATACCCACAAGGTTCAGTAAGAATCAGATTTTACCAGTTTTTGGTTCAAGGTAAACATTCACGTCACCTTAATTAAACCCAGATAGGCCATACTCATGCAAAAAAAAAAAAGTTAAAAAAAAATGCTCTTGTCATTTTTTTCTTCTGTAACAGCACACTAGGACATATCACATGCTGACCTCCTTGGGATTGTTCTGAAAAAATTAAGCACACTAATTTTTTTTCTTCCTTTCAAAAGTGAGGGTGCCAGCTACTGTGCTAGCTAGCCCCTATCACTCACCTCAGCCACCTGCTGGGTCCCCACTCTGTGCTGAACCAGCCCCTCCATATTTGTAGCCATGGTGAAGCAAGATCATTAGAGAACCTGTTTGGAAAGATGTAGCAACTTCTATCAGGTGGGGAAAAACCAGGCTACTTGAAAAATATTAGAAATCAAAATTCATCTTTGGTACTGTCTTGTATAGACTTTGCCCTCTATATACAGCAGGCAGACCTAGCAGGCTAGACATATCTGTATATGCTGCACCAGCTCCTTCAGTTACAGGTACCAAAACTAATTTGTAGAAACATTTCAATTTAGAAACTTCCACTGGCAAATATAAACAAAGATGAATTTGGAAATTTAATTATCAGGTCTCCTGGGTTGTAACAGCTTGGTTTACCTCTCAGGGAGGTGGGAATCACACCTCTTTGGATAGCTCCCTTGTCACAGTATGCTGAAAAAGAAGGTAGCTATCTGAGAAAGCTGTGAAATCAACTTTGGATAAAGCCTAGATTGCTATCATCAACCACACCTCTTTTACTAGTGGCAAAGTGAGAAGAAGCAACACCCTGTTTGGTGCTAACAAACCTCATTCATAGGTTGAAAAGCAAATACTATCACTAACAAAGCAAGAAGCAAGGAGACTGCATTACTAAAGTGTGCTAACAAAATATGGCACCCATATATATATTAAGTTCTCCTTAAATTACAAAACCAGATAATTCAGCTTTCTACTATTAGCAAAAATAGATTTAATGTCATTATTTGTAAAAATGGAGAAAGATCATCTAAAGATCAAAGAGTGTGCTAGTCTCCTGGGTCAGGGTTATTTGAGTACCAGCACTGTTGCAGAAGCAGACTCCTAGTCTCTTCTGGTCATGAAACAGCCCTCCTGAATATTTTCTAAGCCCTTTCAAAGGCTCTACCACAAAGAATTCAGGATAATCTGGACCCAATTCCTGAACAATTCACTATTGACTGTACAGGTCCCATGGTCCACAGAACAAAGCTCAAATCTATTTTCAGGACTTATATATAAAAACTATATCGTACTGAGTGTGCAATACACATGAACACAGTTCATTTGCCTGCCCTCCCTCAATCACAAAGCGGATTATCTCGCAATGCAATTTTACAAAATACTTTTCTGCAATTCCTATCTAAAGTATTATAATCACTGATCTCTATGAAGCTTTTAAACTCTCTGGTAACTTTCTATATCATTCATTTATTATTAGATAACCACCTCTATTATGATAATTCTAATTCACATATTTTATTGCCAAAATGCTAACAAAAACAGGAGTATGAACCTGTTACTGACAAATATAAAAGACCTGGCTCCTGCCTTCAAGGAGTCAAAATCCTGTGACAGTAGGTATTGCACCAACTGCTACAATGGCACCAGGCCATCAGTGTCAGTGATTCATTTTCACAAAATATGATTAGGTCTGAAACTGAGGAGGTAATGTTTACTCTTTTAACAGGTGGTAAAAACTTAACTTTTGTTTCCACAAGAACAAAACACAAAGAAAAACGTTGGTCTTTTTCTCTTGCTACAAGTTGATTACAACTAATGGAGATGAAAGGAAAAAGCATCCTTAAATGCACCAGAAAAGTCAACTGATTTGTTAAAAACACAATTATTGCATGTGAAAGTCTAGAGTTCCATTCTTTCTCAAAACAGAAAATAGGAATTTTCTGAGAAACAGATAGCTAGTAAGTACTATACACTAAAAACTAAAATCTAAACATGTGGCTGCAACTAATATTTCTATCACTTTTAGATGTTAACAGAATTTCTCCTTTATTATTAACCATAGTTCAATGCAAGAAATATGTGAATTTGAATTATTAGAGAAATATTGTTAGGAAAATATTATTGAATAGTATAAAAACAACAAGGTACTAGAAAGGCATATCTTTTCTATTGGGTTCCCTAAAAGAAGTGGCTTGATTCATCAAATTTTGTGTCCAAGTGGATTTTATAGATGACAAACTGATTTAATGGAGGCCTAGTACAGAAAACTTCCTAATAATTCACTTTAACACTAAATTTGCAGATCAATCAACTTCAGGTAGAGCTTGGGATCCTAAGATAAATCTAACAATGAGTGGCTATAGACATTAAGTCACAAAGAAAAGCAGTAAATCTTTTTAAGTGTAGGAAAGGTAAGTATTCTGGTTATTAATCCTTTGTTGATAAGTTATAAATAACTTCTTCCACTCTGTGGTTCATCTGTTTATTTCTGTTTGTTTGTTTTTGAGATGCTGATTCGCTCTTGTTGCCTAGGCTGGAGTGCAATCATGCTACCTCAGCTCACTGCAACCTCCGCCTCCCGGGTTCAAGAGATTCTCCTGCCTCTGCCCGCCTTCGCCTCCCAAAGTGCTGGGATTACAGGCATCAGCCATCAAACCCGGCTCATCTGTTTACTTTCTTTAAGGTGTTTGTTGATGAACAGAAGTCCTTAAATTTAGTAAGGTTAAATTCATCCACATTTTCTTTTATAGTCTGTACTTTAATTTACAAAAATTGTGTCCTATCCCAGGATTGTAAATAAAATTGTACATATTTTCTTAGAAATGTTTAAGAGTTTTGCCCCCTCATATTTAAGTCCTCAATCCATCTGCAAATTGATTCTTGAATCTGATGAGAAGTAAGAATCCAACTCGTTTTTTTCCCATGTAGATAATCCATTTTCCATTTTCTGTTCGAGAAATAGTTCTGGAAAACGGATTATCTACATGGGGAAAATCTATCCTTTTCGCCATTGATCTGCAATGCAATCTCTGCCATATCCCTCTTTTTCCTATGTATGTGGATATAACTATAGGTTCTCTATTCTATTCCACTATTGTTCTCTTTGTCTTTTTTTTTTTTTTTTTTTAAATGCAGTGTTTGCATAAATCTTGCTATGTGATAGGATGAGTGCCCCCCACCTTTTTCTCCCACACCAACTTCCCGGATCATCTTAAACGCCTCTATACACTTGAATTGAGCAGCAACCTTTCTTTATACACTTGAATTCTTACAATTCTTGATCTCACTGTTGGTTTTCTGCCTTCAAAGCATCGTCAGGCATCATCAACAGCAGCTTTGGAAGCTGCTAAAAATGAACAAGGAGGAATGTGCACCTTCTGGAAAAACAAGCAGAGACAAAAAATGAGACTAAGAATAAGAGGGAAATTGAAAGAGAAACTATGTTAAAGCAAGTGCTTTCAATAAAGATTTAAATCCAGTCAGAGGAGGTAAGTGAGAAGTAGTTTCAAAAAATATTTTCTATTACTTTTGAAAATAAGTCACAAACCATATCCTATTCTCATACATAAAAAAGGAAGATAAGAGCCTTTTTCTTCTAGGATATCGCAACGTAAAAAGTAAAACAAAATCTTCAAGTGATGTCAGGAAGTGGGGCAGGGTGAACATTGAACTAAAATGCACCCAGAAAAAAAAGGTAACATCAGGGGATAAGACTCTCACCTGAGACCTTCTCTCACTGCTACCGCAGCCATAGGCGGTCCTAGAGACAGAAAGATCACACAGTGAGAAGGAAGGTCAAACATCTTTAGAAAAGTACTATCAGGCAATGGTTATCAATTAGGAGATGTCCCTCCAGAATAAGAGGCTCCAAGTAACAGCGAGTTGTGGCTATATGTAGTTTGAAAAACTATCTTCACTAGCACAATATAATTTTTTAATTTAAATCTGAAAAAAAATCCTACTGTTTTTATACTACAAAGTACAGACATAAAGCTTTTAAAAACAACTTTCTTGGCTGGTGGAGCCAAGCATAAAACTAACAGCAGTAGCTAACACTAAGTGGTTACTATACACAAGACATTGTATTAATAAGCACTGTGAACGGAACACTAAACTTGCTCTTGGCATAGAAACTTGAGTCTTAAAGGCTAGTACTTCAACCATTCAGCTTATTAACCTTGCAAGGTTGCCTCTCACCCCCACATAATGTTTAGGGGAAAGAACCTGATTAGCTACCAAAAGAGCTATAAAACTGAGTACATGAAGTTTAAAAAAAAAAAAAAAAGTGCTACAGAAGATATTCCTCTGGTGATTTTACTAATCAGGTCCAACCCCTCCATCAATTCTTATTAAGTAACTGCTATGAACTAGGCAATGAACTGACTGCTGAGAATTAACAAAAACAAAGAGGAAGAGGAGAATAAACAGTCCCTTTCCTTGACGAACTTATGAAGGAAACAGACAGAAGTATCTATGGTAAAGTAAATGCTACGAGTGTCCCAGGGAAGAAGCATTTCTCTCTGCCTGTGAGAACCAATGAAAACATTACAGAAGAGGAATTATTTAAAGTAAGTCTTGAAGGAAGAATGGAAATTTAGCCAAGAAAGAGAGGTGGATGAGGAGAGAGTTCTAAGCAGAGAGGACAGCTCTTTCAAAACTGGCAGGTATGAGGAAGAATGGCATATTTGAGCAATGGCAGGCACTGTCGTGTGGAATTTTTTTTTTTTTTTTTTTTTTGAGACGGAGTTTCGCTCGTTACCCAGGCTGGAGTGCAATGGTGCAATCTCGGCTCAGCGCAACCTCTGCCTCCTGGATTCAAGCAATTCTCCTGCCTCAACCTCCCGAGTAGCTGGGACTACAGGCACGCGCCACCATGTCCAGCTAATTTTTTTGTATTTTTAGTAGAGATGGGGTATCACCATGTTGACCAGGATGGTCTCGTTCTCTTGACCTTGTGATCCACCAGCATCGGCCTCCCAAAGTGCTGGGATTATAGGTGTGAGCCACTGCGCCCGGCCTGTGGTGTGGAATTATTACAGAGACCAGCGAAAAAGGGAGGCTGACACTGTAGACAATGGAGAATTATCAGGAATTTGGTAGAAAAATGATGCATTCATATCTGGAGCTTAAAAAAAAAAATTTAGAATGCAGCATGGAAATGATAGAAAAGACAGAAACTGTAGATGGGAGGCCAGTTAGGAAGTGCTATCAACAGTAAAGTCTACAGATGAAGGCAGATTCTTAAAGTAGTGTGTTTTTCCTGGATAGCACACAAATGACAACAGGGCACAGTATATAAAAACTGTTTCATATCCAGCCTGGGCAACATTGTGAAACATCCTTTAAAAAAAATAAAAAATTGTAATACAGACCACAGAAAGATGGAAGTAAGTAATAATTGGTTGGCCTCATGTGACAGGTTTTATAAGAAATTCTTTCAAATCCAAGTAGATCAATACCACATCGACAACAAAGAAGCAGAGAACACAACAATGACTTTCAATTAGCTCTTCTAGGCTCACAAAGTGATAGCTAACTAAACCTTGCAACCAGAATTTCTTTAGTGAAGTAGGGCAAAGACTTCACTGCAGTGAAAAGCTGGGCTCTGGAAACACCTGAATCTCCAGTTTCAGATAACAATGAAAATGAAGAAGTCCTGGGATAAGGAGGCTCTGCCTTCATTAACAGGAATCAGTGAGCCTGCCTTTCCCTCAACAATCAACTGATTCATATCATCTGTATTTGTTACATGGCTTATAATTATATAACATGCAAAGTATCTACTGTCTTCGTATTTCTTTACTAAACAACTACATCAGGTTCTAAGGCTCAGGCACTAAGTTGATCTCTCTGATACTGAGCATATGAGGTTATTGTGAAGTTTACATCTTAAATGTGTACTCGCTGTGCTTGGGACATAGTAGAAATGCAATATATGGTAGCTATTACTGGTGAAAGGTGATTGTGTCACTTTTGCTTTCTCCAAGAAATTTGAAAGTAACTCAAACTGTAAAATCTGTATTATGATTAGGAATAAGTCTCTCATTTTCACATAAGGCTCACATGAGATTTAACTATATACACGTGGAAGTATTAAAACACATAAGCAGCTAGGCACGGTGGCTCATGCCTGTAATCCCAGGACTCTGGTCAGGAGTTCGAGGTCAGCATGGACAACGTGGTGAAATCCCGTCTCTACTAAAAATACAAAATTAGCTGGGCATGGTGGCAGATGCCTGTAATCCCAGCTACTTAGGAGGCTGAGACTGGAAAACTGCTTGAACCCAGGAGGCAGAGGTTGCAATGGGCTGAGATTGAGCCATTTGCACTCCAGCCTGGGCAACAAGAGTGAAACTCCGTCTAAAAAAAATTAATTAATTAAAATTTTAAAAATGAAAAACTCATGCACAAAGCATTTGTAATTCACCCTGTTAAATTGTACAACTGGGCAAAATGAAGGATAAATTAGAATAAAATCTTACAAATATTTTAAAATAAACCAATGCCTAATAACTACTTGCAAAATACTACTGGGCATAGAGTTCTTAACAGGTGCAAGGTATTCGGTGTAAGTTTAATTATTCTGATTGTCAGAAGTCTGTTCATATTCATGGGAAAATAAAAACAGAAGGATTTAGATAGCCTGAGAGAGGATAAAAAATAAGAAATACATAGCTTGAAACTTGCCATCATAGATCACGACTTGAAAGCAGAAAATGAAATTCAAGTAGCAGGTTTAGTGTAATACAAATGTGCAACAACAGTAAAGATACTCACTGGGATGCCTCTAAGGTCACGTTTAGGTATATTTCCTGTCAACGGAAAGCCAGCTATTATTTAGACTCAAAGTTTACTTAGCTTTAGTGTCGGGTAATTTCTTGTCCATCGTGCCCCACCATAGGAAAGGTGTTTCTTCCATATTCAAAGTCTAGACTATAAAAATGGGCATATGTACATGCTGGGAGTGGCAAGGTCAGGTGAGTGACTAGTAGGAAAGAGAAGTGGCTTTCACCTAAATGGAGTTCCTATGTATTAACAGTACCAGAGCAGTGCTACAATTTTCTATGTGGATACTTCCCCTAAAAAAGTCATCGTATACTGTGGATGATTTTTTTGTCATCTTACCAAGAGCCCAGGTATAAGGGTGATGTGGACTTTCTTCATATCTATTAGTGCAAGCCAGGGTAGATGGATTAAGAAAAACAGGATAAATTCTCTGGACATCCATGATGTGCTTTTAAATCAAACGAGGCATGATTTAATCCTTAGCATACTTTCTGAGTATGTAGTATTAGCTCCACCAATGCAAATGGAAAAACCTGCGACTCAGCAGTTACAACTCATCCAGCTAGTAAGTTAGGATTCCAACTCAGGACTCTTTGACTCTAAAATCCCAATAGTCTCTCTAGATCACAGTGCCCTTCAAAATAATTTCCCAGAAAAAAGGAAGTCAAGGAGGGATGGAAAAAAGTGACAGAAAAAATTAAGGGAACAAATTGCTTACATCAATAAGCTAGATCATTTAATAATATACACAACCACTAATTCCTAATTGTGAGTTATGTTTCAGTATTGTAACAGAAACTTCTGAAGCTGCTCCACCCAGGTAGAACCACGGCAGTTTTAGAACTCTGAACACATTCTTCCCTTAAAACTTAACCTAAACAATAATCACATTAATTAAAATAGTGAAAATAATTTTACTATCTTAAGTAAAATTTTTTACTTAACTACAACATGCAAATACAAAAGAGCACAAATCAGCCAGGTGCAGTGGCTCCCACCTGTAATCCTAGCACTTTGGGAGGCCAAAGTGAGTGGACTGCCTGAGCTCAGGAGTTCGAGACCAGCCTGGGCAACATGGTGAAACCCTGTCTCTACTAAAATACAAACAATTTGCTGGGCATGATGGCACACGCCTGCAGTCTCAGCTACTCAAGAAGGTGAGGGACGAGAATCTTTTGAACCTCGGAGGCGAAGATTGCAGTGAACCAAGGTCGCACCACTGCACTCTGGCCTGGGTGGCAGCGGGAGACTCCATCTCCAAAAAAAAAAAAAAGGCACAAATCATGAACAGTTTGATGAATTTTCACTAACTGAACACAGAGAATACACATGTAAGTGCCATTCAGATCAGAAAACAGGACATTACCAGTACCCCAAAAGTCCCTCTCACACCCCTCCCATAGTCATTAACTTCTATTTCCCCTCGTGACATTTATACAATTGGTATTACTTTATAATACTATTACACTGTTTATAATACACTCTTTGGTGTGCCTGGCTTTTTTTGCCCAACGCTATTTTTATAATAACCATGAGTAGTGAATCCATTTTCATTGTTGTATAGTAATCTAATGTATGATTATGATGATTATGCCCGATTTATTTCTCCATGCTATAGCTGATGGACACTTAGATTGTTTCTAGTTTGGAGCCCTTATGATTAGTGCTCCTCTGAACATTTTTTTTTAAATCCTGGCGAAACGATTACATCTGATCCTATGAACATTTTTACACATGCCTTTTGATGCACTGCTATCTTTTCTTTGAAAAATTTACTGGTTTTAAAAATTAACTATGTTTAACTTCTTTTATCTGTTTTTAATTTTACTTTCATAAGTACATTGTTTACTCATTTAGAAAAGAAATATACTACAAATTTAAATTTTATTTAAAAATATCTGTATTATATTAAATAAGTCAACAACACATTCTAATTATTAGCCTTTCCAGTTAAGAGCTGATATATACTTTGTGACATCTGCTTTTAGTTTTGGTAAAGCAATCAATTAAAAGATGATTTTTCAATAATTCCAGGGCTAGTCATCTTAACCTAATAAAAAGATGTACTATTACAGATAGCATAGTGGGGGGACAGGGGACAAGAACCAGGGTGGTACAAATGACATTTCCAAAGTGTTCTACAAATAATACCTAATCAGATTCACTGTACACCACCACTGGGGGAAATGTACCATGAAGCCTGCTAGTATTGTATAACTTCTCAAGAGCCATCCAGCCTCGGTTGTTTATCTTTCTTTTTAAGAAACATGGGTGGGCAGTCAGGTAGGAAACTTTTTTCTCCTGCATAGCTTTTATTAATATACGAACAACAAAGGTAAATAAAGTGCCTCCCTGTAAAACAGAAAGCCTTCAAAGCTTGAGTCTAGTCCCACCAGTCTCTCATTTCTCCTCTTTACTTTTCAGTAGCAGTCACCCCACTTTCCAGGCCCCAAGATCTTTCCTCACACCTCTCACTAACCCAAACAGGGGGAAATATCCTTTTACACTTGGACTCTTGGAATGAAATTCCTCTCCATCTATATGTTAACATTTCAGGGATTAAAATCTTTGGGGTTACTGTTAATAATTATGGAATAGAAAGTTTCACCTCCTATTAGAGGACTTCAGGACTCTTATTACAGTGTAGGAGGTACTTTTTATTGCCCCTAAAAATCAAGCTTTGCCCCTGAGGCTGACTTTCGTCATTACAGGCCACCTGGAATCTAAGGGTAACTCAGAAAGAACAGTCAAGTGTCTGAGCTAGCCTATTCCCTTTCTGTCCTAACAATTCACCTCCCATCCCTCTCTTCTAAGACTTCCAGGTACCAGGGGTCTGCATCTGCATTTATTGTCCCCTTAACAAATACCTATACCAATGCACTGATCTGGGCTTTCATCCCTCTACTCACTCCCCCTCCTCATCATTGTGAGCTGTGCTAGTTGAGCTGTTGTTCCTGGGCAGTTCTTCCTTTCGGTATAGAGCTCCTGCTGCTTTACTCTCTAGCACTCAGGACCTGAAGTGAGCATGGGGAGTAGGCCTGCTATCTGGGGTAGCAGTAGTGGGATCTCGGGAAAAGAATGGCAGGATAGGAGAGAATGACAGAGTATCTCAGCCTCTGGTATGTTAGGTTGAAGGCAAGCAAACCTCCAACAAATAAGGAAGAACGTTATCTTTTACAATGTGTGACAGGGGCACAAATGTATCTAATAGGTTAAAGACGATGATCACACAGGGAAGAAAAAAGGCAGTATCATTTAAGTCCCTCATAGTTAACAATAAAGTAAAAAGAGGTAAACAAAAATCCAGCAGGGGATTCTTGCATCAAGTATGAGGCTGAACTTGAGGTCTAAGACCACTTCCAATTCTGAGATTCTAGGATTCCATCACAGACTCCCAATGTGGTATTTATTAAGGTGACACTTGTATAGGAGATGCTTTGGGACTAAAGGAGCATATGGCTCATAGGTAAGAGAACTCAACAATAAAAATCCCAATGGAAGGCCCTCAATATGTGGAGACACTCAGCAACTGATACAGGAGGCCAGCAGCTCAGTGCCATGGCTGAAAACAGGGCTGCTCCACAAAGACTCACCTCCGTTGTTTTCAAAGTCATTCAGACAACAAGTGTCCTCTACTTCTGGCCCCTATCTCAACACTGGCTACCACCTCCGTTTGACAAATGGGGAATTATACACCTCAGAGAATCTACAAACTCCAGATTCTGAAGCCAGGTCTTTCTGCCTTCATACCCCAAGCTCTTTGTCACTGCACTGCCTTGCCACGTGACTCCTTGGAGACAGATGCTAAAACTTCCCAGCCAACTTCATAAAGTGAGAAGGTTGTTACACATAGAGATTTTCTTCTATAAAGGAATGATCATGAAAACAAAACTTCAAGGTCACTGTGAATATAGCTACTGAAAGCAATAAATGAGTAACTTAATGGTGTAAGAAAATATACAGCTGTTTTACTAAACTATCAGTTCTTTGGTTACTCTGAGTAATTAGCTCAACTAATCAAGTGTTGAATTGAACAAGTGATACCAGAAATCCTTGAGCAAGACAGAAAAAAAAAAAATCCAAAAATAAACTATTGTTATTTTTAAAATACCCTAACGGTATCTTATTTGAAAAGTTTTACAATATAAAATAAGTCAATACAAATGTTCTCTTTATCACACTTTGGAGTAGAAACTTGACATACACTTTACAAAATTTGCTTTTAGCCCTGGTAAAGCAATTAAAAGATGATTTGCAATAATTTCATTAAACGAATAAATTTATCTCTGGCAGGATAAATATCCCAAAGTAATGGCTACAGAGACTTTCAACTCCCAACCCCCTGTGAACCCACTAGAGGCTTCTTCCTTGCTCTCCAATTCCCTGTGATAGTGAAACAAAAATCAGAATATTTGATTTCAAGAAAATCATGTTAATTTGGTGCTTTGTTTCTTCAGTTAAATAACTTAAGGATGTTTGGGCTATTTATTTCTTCACATATGAACTTACTTTCATGTAATTAAATTTGTAATTCAATCATAAAAAGATCAATATAGTGGGAAAAATGATTGAAACAGGTCATTTTATCCAGTATTTATGTCTCAAGGCAGTGGCATACCTGACAGAAATCACGTCCTACATACAACCAAATACCTTAACAGGCTTTTTATTGCTGGCAGTGTTATCTGAATTGCCAAAGAGGCTCACATAAAAGGTATCCATCAATGCAGAGGAACTTAGTTATCAGTGACATCATAAATTATCAACAATTCATTCAACAAATAGTGCCAAGCACTCTTCTAAGTGCAGGGTAAGTAATAGTGAACAAAATGTATTCCTGCTTTCCTGGCTTACAGTGTGGTAAGGACAGACATTAATCAAATAATCACATAATGGAGCGTGGTAATTACAAAACAAAATAAAGGTTATAAAGAAAAGAAACACAATAAAAAGAATCTGATCTAGATTGGCAATGGGAATTAGGGAGGACTTCCCTGAAGAAGCGATGCTTGAGCCAATATCTGAGGTAGGGTGGGGGGGACGTAGGGGTAGGGAACAGACATTTGAATATATCAGGCTAAGGGAACAGCCTGTGAAAGGGCATGGAGTGGGAAGGTAAGCTACACTGGTCAAGAAAGTTGAAGGTAGGCCAGTGTGTCCAGAGCACAGGGAGTTAGGGGTACACAGATAAGAAAATAATGAAAAGCCTTGGAAAGGTTTTTAAACATAAAGCAGGAAAAGAGCCTCTGCCACTATGTAGGTTCTAGTGGAGCCTGAACAACATACTGCCTGTAAAAGAGTTTTGTAAATCATAAAGCACCCTATACTTTGGTTAGTACTATTTAGTTCCACTATTATTTTCTAAACGTTTGTCCTGAATGCCAAGTAACTAGTTGAAAGCATAGAGCCAAAACTAGAATCTCAGAACATCAATCTATTGTTTTTGCCCTACACCACGCTGCCTAAAAATTTCATTGTTTCTATCACTCAACTAGTCTAATGTCTATACCAGTACTTCATAATGACAATAACTCTAATTATTTATAGAGTATTTACTATATGTCAGGCACTCTGCTAAGCTCTATTATTTACCTTAACTCATTTAATCTTCAGTTCTAGAAGGTTCTATTACTGTCCAGACGAGGTTAGTGAGGCTAGGAAAGGTAACTTACACAAAATCACGCTGCTAGTAAAAGTTGGGAGTTGCTAATCACAACACTGAAACATTTTATGTCTGTGTATGCATGTGTATAAATATTTCTTTAGCTCCACAGAGAGAGAAAAAGAGAGAGAGAGAGGGAGGGAGAGAGAGGGGGAGGGGGGGAGAGAGGTTGGGGGAGACGGGGGGAGAGAGAGAGAGAGTGAGAGTGTGTGTGTGTGTGTGTGTGTGTGTGTGTGTGTGTAGAACTTGTACACAGAGAATTATATTCAACTTCAGCCTGGGCGATAGAGCAATACCCTGGTCTCAAAAAAAAAAATCATATTCATGTTTGAGCACCAGTGTCTTAGTCATTTTTGTATTCTCAGCCTAGCACATAATGCCTGGAGTATTTGTGGCATTCAGGAAATATTTGATGAATTCAAGATGTATATGAGAGTCTGACAAACGATTTGGATCTGGAAGTAAAGTAAGTTTCCGAGGCCCTCCTCCCAAGTCATGTATTCACCAGCTTCGTATGAAGGCTGTATTTTCCTCGACTTTATTATTACATTGAAGATTTGTTCCTCACTACCGTTGCTATATTTCACAGCTTTGGCCTGGAGTGGGATAATGGACAATTAACTAGTTCCAACCAACTCTCCAGCCACAAGTAGCTAGTTCCCAATCACATCAAATGCTCTTCCTCCAGGGCCCTTACACAGGCTGTGCTGTCCGGAATGCCATTCCTTCCTTGGGTTCCTCTGTTCAAACATCACTTCCTCTGAGAGGCCCCCCTGACCATTCCATCTAAATTCGTGCCTGAGGTCTTCTTCAGCAGGTCATTTGGTTTCTTTCCTTTCACAGAACTTACCACACTCTCTGGAATTATTCCTTTGTCTATTCACCCCCCCAGCCCCCAACTCTAGTGAGGGCAGGGGTCTCGTCCGGCTGGTTCCCCAGATGTATGCCCAGTGCCTAAAACTAAGTAAACATGTATTCAGCGAAAGAATGAGAAGAGAATCACCCCCGAATTGTGCTCTCTCAAGCCCTTAATACCCTTAAGCTTGCCTCTCCCTGTGGCTGGAATCCCATTTTTAACAGTAACACCATTTTCAAGTGACTTTGAGGCTAGCAAAGTAGACTTGACTCCATTTTCTGAGTAGAGCCCCAAAAACAATGCTGAAAAGGGAGGTCCAGCCTGGCAAGAATGACCATGCTCCCCATTTTACAATGGATAAATTGAGCCTCATTTGGGGATTCGCCATGGCCGCTCCGAAATATAACGAGCAGGAGCCCTGCAACGGGTCCGTCCGCGTTCCGAAAACCTCTTCCCTAGAGACCTCATCGTGGACTCGAAATCCATCACCTTTAATACTATTGTTCTTAGTACTTATCCTGGACGCGTTCCAGGCGGAGGGAAGGCGCCCACCCCAGGGCCCAAGGCCGGGCACCTGCCTCTGCACCCGGCCGCGCCCCTTGCGCCCCGCCCCCGGCGACCCGGCCCCACTCCGCGCCCTGGCCTGTACTCCCGCCCCGCCAGGGCTCCCGCGCCCCATACGGACCGCCCTCTTCTGCTTCACCCAATCAACAGAGCTTATGGGGGCGGTGCCACAGGACCCGACCCTCCTATCCGACACCAATTGGTCGACCCACCCGTCGCTCACGAGGTGGTGCCTCGCACCCGCCTTCCTCCTTTCCCTTTACCCTCCCCTTCAGAAAAAACGGCGGTTGGGCCGCGGCGGCCGCCAAAGGCGGACTAGAAGCAGAGGGGCAAAGAGCCCAGGAGAGGGGGACCAAGGGACTGCAGGAGGGCGGAGGAGGATAAAGAGGAAGGGAGCCCGACCAGCCCGAGCCATCTCCGTCGAGAACAAAATGGCGGCGCTGGCGGAGGGCCAACTGTGAGGCGGGGCCGCGGCCATTCCCCCTCCGCCCCCACCTTTGCGCCGGCCCGGCCGGTCAGGGGGAACCCGCTCGCTTCGTCCGGCCGCGGGCGGGGAGGGGAGGGGAGCGGCCCGGCCCACTATGCAAAGCGCCGGGCGCCGCCGCCGCCGCCCCGTGGCAAAGGTAAAAGGGTCGGGTTCAGCCGCCGCTGCGGCGCCTCCATGTCCGCGCGCCAGGCCCGCCCCCTCCGCCGCCGGCCCGAGCCCGCCCGACCCTCTTTCAATTTTACCTTAGGGTTTGGCGCCAAAGCAGCCTCGAAGCGGGTCCCGTGTCTGCGGCGGGCGGCCCCCGGCGCGGAGGGCAGGGCGCGGAGAGCCCCGGCTCCCGGCGTCGGCGGATGGCGGGAGCCCGGGGGCCGCGGGCTCGCGGGGCAGCTGGCGAGAGACGAGATGCCGAGGTGGGAGCAGGGTAGCGGGGACGGGCCCGGGGGCGCCGCCGGGGTCGCGGGGAAGGGGGGGTTTGTTATTGTTTTTGTCAGTGAAAGGTCAGAGTTCGTGACCCCGGTGCCGCCGCCGCCGCCGCCCGCGCGCTGGTAGGAGGAGGGCGAATGTTCTTCTTCCTCTTCCCAGCGCCAGCCTCGCCGCGGCGGCGGGGGGCGGGCGAGCACGCGATTGGCTGAGGCGCGCGCGCGCACCGGAACGCCGCAGCCGGCGCTTGGTCCATCCGGCCCTTGGGCTACGGGGCCCCGGGCGGCGGTTGCGGCAGCTGCTGAGCTCGGTCGTGGCGGGGCGGGCGTATCTGTGGCTTAAATGGCGCAGGCGCCGGGGCCTAAAGGCCGAAAAGCTAGCGGTCCTAAAAACTCGTGGATGTCGCGCACGGTTACCCGGGCACAGGCCGTCCCTCGGGGGAACCGCGAAGTCCTCACAGCTGAGTGGGTACTGTCCTCGCAGTGGCGGCCTCCACCCCGGCCTCCAGTCTAGCCGGGGCTCGTAAAGTCTCTGTTGATGGAAGAAGCGGGGCCCTGACTAGCGCGACGGATTCGCCCAGCCGCTCAGTAGGGCGCCTGTAGGTCGAAGTGGGGGTTGTATTGGGTGGGAATTGAGCTCTTCTGGCCTTCCTCGGTACAGATAGCTTTTAATTTAGGTTTTAAAGGTCCAAAGATGCGTCCGCTCTGGCCATCGCAGGTGAAGTGTTCAAACTCCCTAGAATCTGTAATTTTTTCTTAATGAACATACGATCCAGATCTTGTGTATTTCCATGCCCTCCCCGAGATATGAAAGTAGTAAATGGTAATAGGTAGGAATGTGTAAAGCAGCTTTTAGCAGCATTGCTTAAATTTATATGAAGAAAATGGCCTGTCTTGATCTTAAACTCTTGGGCTGTAAGTTTTCGTTACATATTTCTCTCTCTCTCCTGTTGTGGTTTTGACTTGCCTGGGAAGGTGCAGGTGTTTATTTATCCTAAATGCCCTGAAGTGTTGAGACTACAGGTTGTAGGTCTTGTACTAAGTGATTTTTTTTCTTCAGTTTTCTTGCTTATTAAGAGGAAATACTGACTCTAGAATGGATGGGTTAACTTTTTTTTTTTTACACAGTACCCATTTGGGCTTTTATTAGGATGACTCTAACTTCAGTATTTTTTCCCCATTATCTTATAATATTTCTATTTGATAAAAAATGTTTTAAACATACCTATTTCCCCGTTTTTCTTGCTCTCACTTTGCAAAGTGGGGAAAAAGCTAGGTTTTTTTAGTCATGGTGAAGCATAGATCTTGAAATTGGAAAAGGCCTTAAGAGAATGTCAATTTTTTCTGGCAGAAAGGTTTTCTTATTTTAGAGGTGAGGTGGGTGAGAACCAGAAGGTTTGCATTATCGAAATGTGCTGTTTGATGTTGGAATACATTTTTTTTGTTTTTTTGGGGGAGACGGAGCTTCGCTCTTGTTGCCCAAGCTGGAGTGCAATGGTGCGATCTCGGCTCACCGCAACAGCGATTCTCCTGCCTCAGCCTCCTGAGTGGTTGGGACTACAGGCTTGCGCCACCACGCCCAGCTAATTTTTGTATTTTTAGTAGAGACAGGGCTTCATCACGTTAAGCCGGCTGGTCTCGATCACCTGACCTCGTGATCCGCCCTCCTTGGCCTCCCAAAGTGCTGGAATTACAGGCATGACCTACCATGCCCGGCCTGGAATACGTTCTTAAATAAATGTGGATCACTTTAATGCACGTTTCTCACTTTATGTTTTTTTGCTAATGACTTATGACTTGCTGTGTATTTTAGATAATGCTATGTATATTTAGACTATGCTTTTTGTCTAATGATGTTAGACAAAAAGGAAATTGGAGCAGTTTTCTTTTTTGAGTTCAAAATGGGTCATAAAGCAGCAGAGACAACTCAAAACATCAGTAACACATTTGGCCCAGAAACTAAGGAACATACAATGCAGTGGTGGCTCAAGAAGTTTTGCAAAGGAGAAGAGAGCCTTGAAGAGGAGGAGCCTGGTGGCGGGCAACCAGAAGCTGACAATGACCAATCGAGAGCAATCATCAAACTACAGGAAAAATTTCAGAAGAACTCAGCATTCACTATCTACAGTCATTTGGGTCGTTTGGAATTTAATGCAAATTGGAAAGGTGAAAAAGCTTGATAAGTGGGTGCCTCATGAGCTGAGCAAAAATCAAAAATTTGTTCTTTTGAAGTGTCTTTTTAATCCCACGCAAGAATAGCAAACCATTTCTCAATGGGATTGTGACATGCAATGAAAAATGGATTTTATACAGCAACCAGCTCAGTGGTTGGACCAAGAAGCAGCTCCAAAGCAGTTCCCAATGCCAAACTTGCACCAAAAAAAAGGTCATAGTCACTGTTTGGTAATCTGCTGCCTGTCTGATCCACTACGGCTTTCGGAATCCTGGCAAAACCATTACATCTGAGAAATATGCTCAGCAAATTGATAAGATGCACCGAAAACCACGCCTGCAGCTGGCATTGGTCAACAGAAAGGGCCTAGTTTTTCTCCATGACAACACTTGACTGCATGTCACACAACGAACACTTCAAAAGTTGAAGGAATTGGGCCACAAAGTTTTGCCTCATCCACCATATACACCTGACCTCTGGCCAACCAACTACCACTTCTGGCATCTTGACAACTTTTTGCAGGGAAAACACTTCAGCAGGATGCAGAAAATGCTTTCCAAGAGTTCATTGAATCCTGAAGCATGCATTTTTATGCTACAGGTATAAATTTATTTCTCATTGGCAAAAATGTGTTGATTGTAATGGTTCCTATTTTGATTAATAGAGATATATTTGAACCCAGTTACAATAATTTAAAATTCACAGTCTGGAAATTAACTTTTGCATCAACCTAGTATTTCAATGGTAAATCCTTGCAAACATGGAAACAATGCACTTGGCCCAGTGCTTTGTAGTTGTGTACTTGTTTTCTTTATTAGATGGGGTTGGCTGGGCACAGTGGCCTGTAATCCCTGCACCTTGGGAGGCTGAGACAGGTGGATCACCTGAGGTCAGTAGTTCAAGACCAGCCTGGCCCACATGGTGAAATCCTGTTTCTACTAAGAACACAAAGAAATGAGCTAGGCATTGGTGGCAAGGGCCTGTAATCCCAGCTACTTTGGGAGGCTGAGGCAGGAGAATCGCTTGAGGTGGAGGTTGCAGTGAGTTGAGATCGTGCCCTTGCACTCCAGCCTGGGCGACAAGAGCAAAACTGTGTCTCAAAAAAAAAAAAAAAAGACGGGGTCTCACTTTGTTGACCAGGCTGGTCTCGAACTCCTGGCCTCAAGTGAACCTCCCATCGCAACCTCCCAAATTGTTAGCATTACAGGTGTGAGCCACTGTACCCCGCCTGGTTGTGTACTCTTTCAAAAATTAAGTTTTTAGTGTTAAATGATGCTTCTAGATACATTGTAAAAATTCATGTATCAGAGTTTTTAATTAAAAACATTGCAATTGTACTAGATTTTAAAGTAAATACTAATCAATAATTCAGGCTTTGATGTTGGTTTATAGTTTTCTCACTTCTTTCATTTAATAGCTCTGTAAATGAAGTAGTTACTTCCATTTTCCTGAGGTGTAGGACTGTGGCCCAGATAAGATACCTGCACAATGTTATAGGTCCAATAAGTGAGACTGGGGCTATTATCTAGTCCCTTTGACATTAAAGCTTGTGTAGTAAACCATCTATGTCAGTTTGCCACATTTGTAATAGCGTTCAATAATTTTTCACTTAAAGGTTGGTTTAATATTAAAGTAGTAGCAAGAATTCATAACCTTAATTGGCTTTAACAGCTTTTCTTCCCCTGAACACAGATGCGTATGTACACATGCACACAGCATACAGTAACAGCACATAACAGGCCTTTGCATGTTGAGGTCAGCACTGTTATGGTGCCTTTTTTTTGTGGGGGGGGGCTCTGGTTTTTTGACTGCAAGTCTTTTTAGTTAGAAAGTAGCTTTCTAACACTTGGATGGGTTTTACAGGCACAAAAAAACACAAAAGTATTATACTAGCTCTACTTTATTTTTGAGTTCTTATTAATGGGGAACATCTACTTTTGCATTGACAGTGGTTTCAAGATTGCTTTATCAGCCTTTAAAGGATTCTTAACTAGGTGTGCACTTCAGAACTGCCAGGCCCCCAGTGGTTCTGAAGCAGTAAGCTTTGGGTGGGCCCTGGCATCAGCCCTTTTACTGAGCTTCACAGATTATTCTGATGCATACTCCAGGCCTGAACCGCTGATCCCATTTGAAACATGCATCCTAACAAAGCAAAAAAGTTTTGTTTCACCTTTTGAAATAGTTAATTCTTACCATGCTGGAGATTATTCGTTCAGAGAGACAGGTGCTTGCTCCAGAGTGGTGATATCTGGCAGTACCCAACCCTTGTGTGTGCAGTAGCTCAGCACCTGCCATATTGGGAGCCCTGGTAGGATGTGTCTTGTCCTTCCCTGTTTCAGCTCTTAACACAATTGCTGGTACAGAGTATGTAGCGTGCATTTGTTGAATGAATGCTTTTCCCCGTAGCAGTGTATTCATACAATATTCATATAATTGTCCCCTGGTTTACAGATGAAAGTGAAAGCACTAAGTGCCCAATGGTGAGACCTAGGAGTTCTTCTTCCACCCCTAGTGGTTCCCTGGGCAATTTTTTCTAACACTCACCTGCAGTCTGTTCTGCAGTCCATCATTGATTGACTTGTCTGTGTACTTGAGAGCAGGAACTGTTTGATAGTTTCATTAGTACAGAGTAAACATTTGCCGTGCAAGGTTATTTTACATGTTTATTTAAGTGATAAATGTTGAGTCAATGAAAATGAAGTTTTGATTAAGCAATAGTTGAAGATGTGCTAGGTTTTTCAAATTACTAATATCAAGCAGAGATTGTTTTTACTTGTAAAGGTATTGCTTTTGTGATAGCATAAATAATGGTTTTCCTTTTTTGTAATGTAAATTAATTACTGGCAATTTTGTATTCCCATAGACTGGGGAAGATTAATTGCCTTTATAAGTATGTACAACTTTGTATCACATTTTCTTTTTTTTTTTTTTTTTTTTTTTTTTGAGACTGTGTTTCACTCGTTACCCAGGCTGGAGTGCAATGGCGCGATCTCGGCTCACCGCAACCTCCGCCTCCTGGGTTCAGGCAATTCTCCTGCCTCAGCCTCCTGAGTAGCTGGGATTACAGGCACGCGCCACCATGCCTAGCTAATTTTTTGTATTTTTAGTAGAGACGGGGTTTCGCCATGTTGCAGGATGGTTTCGATCTCTTGACCTCGTGATCCACCCGCCTCGGCCTCCCTAAGTACTGGGATTACAGGCTTGAGCCACCGCGCCCGGCCTGTATCACATTTTCTGTATAATAGCTTATGCTTTATTACTATATATATACTAATAATTTTACCTGACTTGTTTATATCATTTGTACAATTACCTGGTTGTAATATAAACTTGGTTGCTGTTAGCCACCCACCCCCCCACCCCTTTTAATTGTGGAATCTGAGTGAGGTATGCTGGCTCACTCCTGTAATCCTAGTGCTTTGGGAGACTGAGGCAGGTGGATTGCTTGAGCTTGAGACCAGCGTGGGCAACATGGTGAAACACCATCTCCAGTAAAAATACAAAAATTAGCTGGGTGTGGTGGTGCATGCCTGTAGTCTCAGCTACTAGAGGCTGAGATAGGAGGATCACTTGAGCCTAGGGAGGTCAAGGCTGCAGTGAGCCATGATCGTGCCACTGCACTCTAGTTTGGGTGACAGCAAGACCCAGTCTCAAAATAAAAACAAACGCAGTGTGGAATCTGGGCAGATAAGATAAAATCTCTGAATACCAGATTGCATAATACTTTACATTTAACACCTTATCCTGTTTAATTTACAATAACCTTGTGAAGTAGATGGTATTACCCTGTTTTTACAGCTAAATAGGCCGAGACCTAACAGAGAAGATGACTTCTCCAAAGTTGCATGGCCAGCAAGGGGTGGAACATTTATTAATAACTGTTTCTGCTCTTCTGTCCTTGAGGAGTCTGAGAGGAAGAAAACTCTTCTACCCACCTCTATGGTCTGTCAAAGTCAAGCTCTAGCACAGCTTATCAGGCTATTTGAGGAGGCCTCAACCTCTATGGAGGTGGCCCTTGTTCTTCCCAAGAGGAGACTAGAGAAAGACTGTTTTCCCTGTGGTGGATTAATGGTATGAGAACACAGGGACACCAAGAGTGCATTTCCTAGTCTCCTAAGTAGCTGAGACTACTGGTGTGAGCCACCAGCGTGACCCAAACAGCCTTTCTTACGTCATCCATTTTTGTGACTTCCTCTCTGCACTCTGGCAATTCTGAACTAACCCATTCCCCAAACATGCTACTTGATGTCTTCATTACTACACACCTTACTCCACCCCCTACTTCCAGGGACCTCTCCAACCCTCTTTCTCTGTGAGGTGACCTCTCCTCTTCATATGTCAAGCTCCAACTCAGAAGTCACTCTCAAGAACACTCCTAATCTCCCTCAAGCACAATCCATTCCTTGATCCCTTTTCCCGGAACGTTTTAGCTTTCTTGTGCTTCTAACCATAGAGAATTAAATGTTTATATCTGACTTGAAGTAAATAACCATGTGTCTAGTGCATAGTATTATGCCAAGCCTGGCATCACTGTTGAAACAGTTTCAGTATTCCACAGCTCCTTAGAATTCTCTTAGACTTACATAAACATTCAGCCACTTCCTCAGCCTCTTATTCTAACAGAGTTGACTGAAAATTTCTAGCTCCCAAGAAACAATCCCAATCATATTAACCTTGCTTTCTAGCTAACTGATCCTGGACATAAATATCAATGTGTTTCTCAGGGTTCAGGTTACCATTAAATTTATGTACAAACTTACATACAAAAATATGTACAAACATAATGTTTATAGTTTTGTTATAGGTATATAATCTGCTTTTTCCTTTATGTTAAGAATGTCAGTATTTCTCAGTTTATTAGAGTTTCAGTTAGTGAAGTGAGTGTCCAGAATAAGTGAAAATTAACCTGTCAGCTGAGGAGTGGCAGTGGCCAAGCAGCAAGCACTCTGGCTGTTCGGCCACATTCCAGGTTTGCCATTACCAATTGTGGGGCTTCTGACAAGAAATCTACCCCTGAATCTGTCTGCTCTGAGTTCAGTTGTGGCTGTACCACCTTGAAGGGTGATTGAGGGTAGAAGGAAGCCTGTGGAAGTGCTTTTGTAAGAGGTAAACTCATTCATTCACAAATGCAGCTGAAGCTCAAAAGCTGACCCCTGAATCAAGCATCTTAATTTACATAGATATGCAACTCTCAGTGTTTCTTTCACTTTTAAACTTATTTCAAAAATTAAAATTTGAAATATGCTATTTAGCAAATGTTTCATCTATTGTGATTTTTTTCACCAAAAGTGAACTTAGCAAGAAACACTATCTTGTATCTCTTATTAGAAGTTCTGTCCCTATAGCTTTCCTAAAGAGAAAAAAGATTTATCTCTTAATATTCGTCAAGAGGAGAGCTTAGCAACAGTATGTCTAGGGACATATGCAGGAACATGCCTTTTTTTTTTTTTTTTGAGATGGAGTCTCGCTCTGCTGCCAGGCTGGAGTGCCGTGGTTCAATCTCGGCTCACTACAACCTCTGCCTCCCAGGTTCAAGTGATTCTCCTGTCTCAGCCTCCCGAGTAGCTGGGACTACAGGTGCACGCTACCACGCCCAGCTTATTTTTGTATTTTTAGTAGAGATGGGGTTTCTGCCATGTTGGCCAGGATGGTCTTGATCTCATGACCTTGTGATCCACCTACTTTGTCTCCCAAAGTGCTGGGATTACAGGTATGAGCCACCTCGCCTGGCTGCTTTTTTTTTTTTCCAAGTTTTTAAAAGGCCATTTTCTTCACCTTTTCATTAGGAGAAGATCTGTTTCTTATCCTGTGTAGCAAGGGATATGTCCTGATAATTGTAAAAATGGAGGATCTTTGTTGAATAGGTGAAAGGTTAAGATCTAAGAGAAATTAGTGAAATTATTGTAGTGAAAACCAATGGTTATTTTTCACCTTGCCCCACAAAATAAGATTCAGGGTGACACTGAGTAGTACTATAGCTACATTTTTAAAAGAGGCGTCTAATTTTATGCTTTTAATAACTTTCATAATTATGTATTTTGGAATAATCAAGTCTCATGCTTTAGAGCATAGCCAATTACTGTAGCCTTCAAGAAGTAATTTATTTTCTCATGTATGCTGCTCACAACCGGATAGCTCCATTACACATTCATGAATTCTAGTGCGCATTGTTAAGGGCTGGTAAGTACAGGCCACTGGATTTGAAGGGCCACAGACAAGATGACAATTCTTGAACATCCTGGTCTCCTGCTTTTATCTATTACTTAGGAGTTCTAAGGAGCACAGGGCTTCTGTGTTTCAGTAATGACAGGTACACTGCTGCTGAAAACAGAGCAAACGAAAGGCTGGGCTAGAGGAATAAAAGACTCTCTGTCATCCTTCAGCTGCTGCAACAGGGCTGCTGGGATCGCAGCACTGGTTTGCATTGTGCACGCCCAAAGATCAGACTGAGCATCAGCCCCTCAGACCACAGGTTTTCCCAGAACCAGGCTGCATAAAAGAGAATGAGTCTATTAGCCTGATCAGAAAAATTGAAGGCATATTTCTGATGTGTAAAGGAATTATTATTAAAGACAGGGACTTGTTCTGTTGCCCAGGCTGGAGAGCAGTCGCATGATCATGGCTCATTGTAGCACTGACCTTGTAGGCTCAAGTGATCCTGCCTCAGCCTCCCAAGTAGCTGAGACTACAGGCACGCATCACCACACGTGACTACTTTTTGTATTTTTAGCAGAGATAGAGTTTCGCCATGTTGCCCAGGCTGGTCTTGAACCCCTGGGCACAAGCAATCCACCTGCCTTGGCCTCCGAAAGTGCTGGGATTATAGGTGCGAACCACTGTGCTCGGCCAAAAGATTATTACTAGGACCCAGGAACATACGCTACTGTGTATGTTTCTGGTGTGCTTTGTATTAAGGAACAGAATTCTTCCTACTTACTAAGACCAACCCAGACTGAAGAAACACATTCAATCTGCAGGGTAAGTTTGAAGCCAGTAATCATGTGAAATACATGATGCTTGTTTTCAGTAAAAACTTTTATAAAGTTTTATTGATTCTGAGAAGCAGGCAGAGGCCATCCCTACAAAGATCTATGCTTTCCTCAGGTGATTAAAATGAAAGAGAGGGGAGATCATATTCCATGACCAAAGTTCAGTCATCCTGTGTTAGGTGTTAGGGTTTCTCTCTTCTTTGCCATTTTCTTTTTTGAGACACAGTCTCACTCTGTCACCCAGGGTGGAATGTAGTGTCATGATCATAACTCACTATAGTCGCAACCTCCTGGGCTCAAGCAATCCTCCTGTCTCAGCCTCCTGAGTAGCTAGGACTATAGGCATGAGCCACTATGCCTGGCTGATTTTTAGTTTTTGTAAAGATGGGGTCTCAGTATATTGCCCAGGCTGGTCTAGAACTCCTGGGTTCAAACAGTCCTTCTGTCTCAGCCTTCCAAAGTGCTGGGATTACAGGCATGAGCCACCAATAAGGAAAAAGGTCTTCTGTATATTGTCTTCATTTGGTACTGTTAAAGAACAGGGCCTATGACTTTGATAAACCAGTGGGTAAGGACATGGTGTTATTATACAAAATAAAATAAAGTTATGGGCTCTGCTCTGTTACCAGTTTCAGACCACTTCCACAAACATTCCATCTGTGCCTTTTTACCTCAACCTGTGGGAGAAGCTAGAATGATCTCCTGTAATAGAAGAAGACACCAAAGCTCAGAGCAACTTAAGTAAGTGACTCATCTATGGCTCAAGCACAGTGCTGCTGCTTCCTGATAAACATGGCCTTTGCTGGGGGTGCACAGCAGAGGGGCAGCTCTGTGTCCAGGGAGCAGAGGGACAGAGCAGGTGTTATGGGGGACTTTGAGCAGCATCTGCATGGTGTCATGGCTGGTCATTTCCCTAGCATCTGGGCCCAGTGGGAAGGAGCACCCTCTGACCAGGTAGGATGGCTTCATCGCCAGTAGAAAAGGTAGTAGAAATTAGCCTGAAATGAGTACACAGCCACAGGAAGGACAGGTAATACAAAGTCCAGGTAAAAGGTCCTTGTTTAGTCACAGATAAGCTCCTGCCAGTTTTCTTTTATAAAACCCATCCAGTGTGTTTTTCATCTATAACCCAGACATTTTTATTAGGGTAACTATTCACTGAGAAATAAAAGCCATGTTACCTCCTTACAGAGGCTCTAAAATAGGACGTTGTAAAGTGAAAGAGGCCTTCTGATGGCTTTCAGACCCGTAATGCTATCTAGCACTCAGAAACTGACCATGGGCGGTGACCTGAGCACACTAGGGAAACTCCCCCTGCCTGGTACTGAAGTTCTGCTCTGCTCAACGTCTCTAGGAATCCCA